CTTCGTTCGTTTTGATTTGCTACCCTCTCTCAAGCACAAAAACCCATTGAAGGTGAAAATCATGGCATGTTGATCAATCTTCGTTCAATTTCATTCAAGTTCGAGTTCTGATTTTCAATTTCATTTTGATTTTCCATCTTCGATCTTTGTTCTTCCATCTTCGCTCGCAAATTTCATCTTCGATCGGTGAGGCTTTCATCTTCGCTCGTAGGTAGCTCAATTTCATTCCAGTTCGAGTTCTGATTTTTTATTTCATTTGATTTTTATTCTTCGTTCTTCGCTTGACAGCTTTCATCGCCGATCACTGAAGCTTTCATCTTCACTCGCAAATATTTGATTTTCTTCATCTTTGATTTTAGCTTCAGTTTCAGATTTATTATTCTTAGCTTCAAATTGCATGTTGGTCAATTTCAAATTTTACCTATGATTTTATTCACATTTCAAGTTTTCATAGTTCAACATTTTATTTGATTTTGAACCAATTTCTGTTGAATTTTTACTATATTTTTTACGTGATGAAACTGTTAGATATTTAACAGAGGAATTGATAGAGATTTAAGAGATGAATTGTAATATTCAATGATCCATGAATTGGTAATTGTTTCGATTTTTGAGTTATCGATTAGTTTTTGGGATTTTGCTATGAATTGATATCAGTGATATTAATTACTGATATATTGAATGAAGTATATCAGTGAGGTATATCACATTTATATATATTCTATATTTGGTATATCTATAACTGATATACTCAATATAGGATATATCTGTAAATGATATAATCAATATATAATGTATCAGCTGCTTACATCATGTTTTTTAATTTTAGTAGTATATTGATTATTTTTTAAAATTTGAGTGAGATATTAATTGTTTAAATTATTTTGAGTGGTACCTTTACTCATTTGTGTCGGAGTATTATTTTTCTATGAAATTGTCACATACTTATAATGGTTCAATTAGTCTTGTTGGTAACCATTCTGACTGGGGATCTATAGTGATCGATGTTACTGTATTACCTTCTATGTTTAAACGTCTACTAGGAAGGCCTCGAAAACAAAGGATTCCTTCAATTGGCGAGGTGAGAAAGCACACAAGATGCAGACGTTGTCAATGTGTTGGACACAATCGTAGAACTTGTAAATTTGGACTTGTTCAACAATGATGTATAAGTAGATACTTATAATTAAACATTTGTAGTATATCAAAGATGTATATCAAAACATTGTTTTTATGATTTGAATTTTACAATGAAGTAGGTTTTTTATTACAACCCAATGTGTTAATCCAATGAAGTTTGCTTATATGATTTTGCTCTCGTAAGTCAAGGTTGATGACATAATTTAGATCATTACATGAGTCTATATATCATATTTATATCAATAGTACATCTATATATCAGTAATATATCAGTGATATATCAAGTATATATCGTACATATATCACTAGTACAATTAAGTTTGATTTAAAGTTTTAAAGATCAAAACGAAATCAGCAGCAATGCCATTTTTAAAAGGTTTAAACATCATTCTTCGGTATCAACATCAACATCAAATAAGCAGCAAAGTTCTTCAACCAAAAACTTAAATGTTTAAACATCATAACTAACCAGTAGCATAAACCAAAAGTAGACTAACAATGTCATTCTTAAAAATCTATAAAAGAAGAAGCATAAGTTCCAACAGTCTATAAAACACATGAGTTTCATTCTTGTGTAATCTTTAGGTAAAAACTTGGACCATCAATGTTCGTTCTTGGTGATTGTCGTGTCTTCGAAGATAATATCTTTGAAGCTTTTTATTTTTCCATAGACAACACTTTTGGCGTTGGTTTATATTGTCTTTTGGGACAAACGACATCAACATTTTCGACGATGTTTTTTTATTTTATTTTTCGTGTTTGTACCATTGCTTTTATCTAAAAAAATTTATTTCATATATTAGTAGTATATCAAAAAACATATTAGAGGTAATATGTTCGAAATAATTGGTAGATATCATAGTTATATCAGAAGTAAATCAATTTCATATCATATATATATCAAGCATATATCACATATATGTTAAGAGTATATCTGTCAACATTAATATATCAGAAGTAAATCAATTTCATATCATATATATATCAAACATATATCACATATATATCAGGAGTATATCTGTCAACATTAGTATATCAGAAGTCAATCAATAATATATTAGAAGTTAATAAGTTCTATATCACCTATAGTAGAAGATATCATAGTTATATAAGAAGTAAATCAATTTCATATATATCAGGAGTATATCTGTCAACATTAGTATATCAGAAGTAAATCAATAGTATATCAGAATTCAATCAGTTCTATATCACCTATAGTAGAGATATCATAGTTATATCAGAAGTAAATCAATTTAATATCATATATATATCAAACATATATCACATATATCAGGAGTCTATCTGTCAACATTAGTATATCAAAAGTAAATCAACAGTATATCAGAAGTCAATCAGTTCTATATCAATTATATATCAGTTGTATAATAGTAAATCACTATTTTACTTGCTTTGACCCTTTGTCTTGTATTTTTTTTATCTTCGTTCCATATTTTTTGTTTCTTCCCATATTTTCCATACTATTATCAGTTGTATAATAGTATATCAAAGGGAAGTTACAACGAAAACTGTAATAAAAGGGCAGGAAATCGAAATAGAATTTCGACCTGGTTGAAATGGTTGAAATAGAAGTTACCACAAAATGGCATGCATGGAAAATGAGAAAGAAAACTTGAAAGGAACGTGAACTAATTCCGAACTTATTGTGAAGGAGAAATCGAAGGGAATGGGGAAGGAGATGAATGTGTAATCAATTAGAATTGACATGCATGGAAAATGAGAAAGAAATTTGATACTTACTAAAAATGAGAAATAAAACTTGAAAGGAACGTAAATGTGAATGTCAATGATGATTTTCGACAATCAATTAGAAATCAGAGGTAAATAGAAACTTAAGGGTTTTCTGGGCTTCCACCAATGTTTTGGGCTTGTGTTTATGGTTTGTTTAGGCTGCAGGGTATCTTTGTAATTTAGATAGTGGGCCTCCGTTTTTTTGCAAAAAAAAAATGATATAGTTGAAAAACTCAAACCTTATAGTATTTTGCTTATTTTCCTAACTTTTTTTTGCCATATCTCAAATTGTCCCTATATATTAATTACTTTTAGAATTATTATTTACTAGTATAAATAATTAGTTTTAAAAAATATTTAATATTTTATTCACGATTTAGTAAATATGTCAATAAAATATATATTGATTGTTTAAAAAATGGAATCGAGAATTAGGTCAGAACATGCATTTCTTATTCTTGGAGCAGAGAATCAACCATACGATAGTTTTTGTCATCCCTGTAGAGACATGAAAATACATGTTTAGAAGAATGGAAATAAACTTTTAAAAGATAACTTTTAGAGAGATAAAAAAGGAATTTAGAAAAATAATCAGTGAAAGAAAAGTTAAAGACAGAATGAGAAAAAGTTTTAGAGAAAAATAGTAAAGTTTAGAGGAAAAGATACATTAAAGAAAAATAAATAAATTAGAAATAAACAAAAAAATTATAACGAGAAAAAATTTAGAGATAAAAACAAGATTCTAAATATATTCGTTAGAGAAAAATAAATAAATACAATGCGAAATAAAAGTTACAATGAATGAAAACTAAACGAGAATATAATATATAATTTTCAGAGGAAAATAGACATGGAAGGGAAAGTAAAGTTACAAATGACAAAATTTAGGAAGAGAAAGGTTCTGAAAAATATTAAATTTTTAGAGAGAGAAATGAAAGTTGTAAGAAAAAAAGAAAAAAAAAATGTAGAGGTAAAAAATTTGGAGAGAGAGAAATAATGACAAATATTTAAGATATTAAAATTGTAGATAGAGATATTTTAAAAGAAAAAAAAAATTGCAGAGGGAAAGAGAAATTTGTTAGAAATAAATATGTCAAAAAAAGTTGAGTATTGGAAAAAAAATAAGATTTAAAAATAAAATTCTATTTTAATTTTTTTTTTCAAATTTACATAGAATATATCAATTGCCATCGAGTTATGCTCACTTTCGCTTTACATAATAGGTTCCGTCTACTTACTCGCAATCATAATAGGAATGATTCTGAATGAAAATCAATTAGAATGATAATGTTATTCTTTGATGTTGTTTATATAAATTTTTTGGAACCGTAATCAAAATTTCTTTGTTTACCAAAAAATATATCCATTTCTCCTTCTTAACTAATTACAAATACATTGGTGTGCTAATCCTTTTTAATTAGAATAATAATAAATTTTAATTTAATTTATCACTTATATTTTGATAGTAAATAACTTTTATTGGAACAATTTATTTAATATTAATGAATAATTAAAATAAAATTACATTAAATAAAATATTATTTTAGTTGAACAACCATAATTTAATATAACATATTATAAATTTTATTATTCTAACATTTAAAAATCATCATTTCTATTTTAAAAAATCTATTGATATTAATTAATATAAATTGATATTATTATATAATAAATTCATATCAACTAATAAAAATTGAAGTATAAATGGAGAAGAAATTATAAAAGTATAGAAAAATTTAATTAAAAATTATATCAACTTAATAGATGAGAGAGAAAAAAAGGTAAAAGTTGTAAATTAATTATAATACATGTATGGGATCCACATAATAAAAATGAAAATAAAATTGATGCGCTTGTAAGAGTATAATGAGATTAAAAAAAAATAAAATTAATGGGATCAGAGGATGTTACGTTGAAAGGGGGAGAACAACTAGATTCTCAATATTAACTCTGCTCTTTTTTAATTAATTATTTATGATCACTGTTTTAACCTTTTAGAACTATAGGAAGACACGTAAAATCACTTTGAAGACGATGAAAAAAAATTACTAATGTGAAATAAAAGAGAGATTTTCAAAGAGAGAGAGAGAAAAAAAAGGAGAGAGAGAGAATTGAAGGTTTCAGTTTGAGTTTCCCTAATTGAAATGCAAAACAAAATTGAATTACTAGAAGAATCTTCATACGGTAATCGAATTACCAATTACAACTTCTGTACTCTATGTACAATTTCTCTCATGGCGGATTTATGTCTAATTAATCATCACATCACAGTCGCGACGCCATTGTCGTACCTTCGTCTTCTTCTCTCCGCCGCCACATCGTCTTCCATGGCCGCCTTCCTCTTGCTACCGTTCGTCTGCGGCTGCGGCTGTTGTTCTAACGATTCCAATTCAGTCTCCGACTCGGTTGTTTCTTCTTGATTTTCATCCTTCGCCTTCGCCTTCATCATGTGCGGTTTCAGTTTGTTCACATCGCACAATTGAACTGGCTTCAGGAAGAACTCTTCCGCGCCTTCTTCCAAGCATCTGTGCTTCGCATAACAATCGAATCAAATCCAATCCAATCAACAGATCGTCAGATTTCGGAAAATTTGCAGATCGATTCTCCGGTTTTACCTGCTGATTCTCGAAGGTACGTTTTCCGATGACATTATCACGACCGGTATGTTTCTTAGAGACGACGATTCCTGCAAATTTACACGAAATTTTCATGTCAATTCTATTCCTGCTTTCCTCTGTATGTTTAATTCTTTCTCGAGAAAAACAGATTTTCCCGGAAAGTTCCAGCGGTACCGGTTGCGCCAATTCCTATCTAGTCTGTCTGTTCGTTTGTTTGTTTGAAAAGAAAAACAAAATTTGCAGGAAAGTTTCTGACAGGTTCACATTGAGGAGAATTGGCACAACACAAATTCCCAAATTATAAGGAAAATCCGCGGAATATTGTACAGAAGAACAGATCTAATCGATTGGAAAGCAAACAGAAAAGGTAGGTAAGAAAATATTCTCTCAGATTTTTCATCAAGCAGGTGGTGGACGGACGGACGCATCCTTCAGGAAAATTCAAAAAAAAAATATTCAAAAAGTAGAAGAAATTCAACCAAGAATTATTACCTTAACCTTCTTGAGCAAATCGAAGCCAGTCATTCCCGGCATGCAGTAATCAGTAATGATAAGATTCACCTCCACTTCCTGCAAAAGAAAACAAAAATTTCAGAAACAGAGAGATTGGAAATGGAGAAGAGAAATCGAAATCAGAATGTGAACCTGATGATCGAAGTCTGTAATCGTAGGTTGATCTTGATGAACCAAGCCAAGAAACTCCAAAGCCTTGCTACCAGAATCAACCGCAGTGACTGAAGAAACCAGAAAAAAGGAAAAGATGATCCACCAACACCAATTTGGATTCGAAGAAATTAGAGAAATTGAAGGAGAAAAGGAAAATTACCTTGATAGGAGGAGGTTTTGAGGAGGCGCTCGATGAGCTTCCGATCAATGAGGCTATCATCGACGGCAAGAACATGGAATTTGGACATTTTTTTTGGAGTGGAGAAATTAGGGGGAAAATGGTGGGTTTGGCGTTGGTTTTAAGAGCAAGCAAGAAGACCCACCACGATGAACATCACACGAAGCAAGATCCGACCGGATTTTGTTGCAAATCTTTTTATTTTTTTTTTCTTTCTTTCTTTTGAATTGAAAGGCAAACGATGAGAAAAATAAAATAAAAAAGAAAAAATAGAAAATAGAAAATAGAAAATGGGAAATGGAAATGCGTATTGGTATTATTATATATCAGACGAATCGTGCCCAATATCTTCCCAAGTGATCGGGAAGTGGGACTGGGGCCGTCTTTCTTCAATTATTTTTATAATAGTCCACATAAGAATTCGGATTTGTTTCCATTATTTTCTGGATTTTTTTTTAAATAATTATTTTTTAAAAACAAAGGACAAATCTAACATAGGTTTCAAACTAATTACAAAATTAGGGTAGATAAATCGCAGGGATAGACTGCGATTTGCCCAAAATCGTAGGCGATGGCTGCGATTTATGTCGAAATCGCGGACCGCGATTTCATTAAAGTCGCAGCCGACTTCTGCCTGACGTGGCGCAAATGGAGCCACGTCTTTGCTGACGGGCCATTTATTTTTTTTAATTATTTTTTTATTTTGAATTTCGGCTGCGACTTCCCTTTGTTTTTTTTTTGTTAAATTTGGGAGGGGCAGCCCTTCCCCACTTCCTCTTTTATTTTTTTATTTTTTATTTTTATTTTATCTTTTGAATTTAAAAATTATAACCCTGCAACTTCCCACCAATATCCCTTTGTTTTTCTTAATTTTATTTTAAAAGATCATAATTTAAGAAAAATACTATCATCTTAATTTTCTCCATATTTAGAAAGTAGTTCTTAATTACCTACCACATGGACATATTCCTATAATGTAATAATTTACAACAAAATAATTGTAAAACAAACAAAACCCTAATTATACATATCCCAAATTTTGGTTGTTTTTTAAAGCCATGTATTTCGCGATGCAAATGACAAAACATGTGAGTTTCATGTAATTTATACCTTTACTTTTATGGTTTTATTAATTTAATAATTTTTTATCGATTTAGTTTATATTAAATTTAAATGTTATTTTATAGAACATACGAAGATGAAATACAAGAAGCTAAATGACATTTTAATCATCGAATTGGTTTTAATATAAGTTTAAACTTTTAGACTTTAAATGACATTTTAATCAAATTTAAAAATAAAAAAATAAAAAATAAAAAATTTAATCACATCTTAATTAAATTTCGCAATATTAATAAAATAACAATATATAAATAAAATAAAACAAAAAATAAATAAAAATGTGGAAAACATAAAAAGGTAAAAGTCGCGTACAATGTACCGGACTTCCACCTAATCACCTGCCACGTTTGTACGAAAATCGCAGGCATTGTACGCGAGTTTTGACTTTTATTTTAACCTAACCTATTTTTGTCAATAGTTTTGAAAACATAACTTACCTTTGAATTTATTTATTTAAATTACATTTATTTTATAGTTTTTTTTAAACTAACATTATTTTTGTAATTTATTTTTAAAACTAGATTATTTTAAAACTTTGTCCTTATTTTCTTTTTAAATTTTAGGTTTAAATATTATTTTAGTGTTGGTATTCTCGAGTTTGTCTCTGTAGTTTTAAAACCTTTATTTTGATCCTTAAACTTCCATTTTTTTTGTTTTCTTTTTAAATTTTAGATTTCAATACTATTTTGGTTAGGTTACTGTCGAGGAGTTTGGTTTATTTTAGTGACCATAGTTTTAAAATGTCTATTTTGATCTTTGAACTTTCAATTTTTCTTCATTTGAGTTCAACTTTTGAAATGTTGATTTTGATTCTTGTAGTGATCATTTCTACCTCATTTCTTTATATCATAATTTTAACATGACACCTTGCTCCATTAATTCTTTGAAATGTAATTATAAATTTATATTAAATAGTTTCCACTATGTTAAAATTATGCAAGTAGGAATCTAATTAGTCACTTTTTAAAAAGTATCTGAAACAAAACAAATGTTTGAAGAGTACTTGAGTATTTTGAAAGTACAGAAGAGAAGTATGGATCAAAATATTATCTAAACTTAAATTTTACTATTTATCATTGCATTTCATCTTTAAAAAAAAAGTTACTAAGATCTTTTCTAATGGTTCAATGATTTGAAGATCAAAGTTGTTAGTACATTTGACTTCTCAATTTATAAGTTTTGATGATTTTTAAGTGAACTAACTTGTCACAACAACTCAAGTCACAAGGGATTGGTGCATCTTTTTATGAACTATAAGTTTTCTTGAATTTAATGCACAAAACATATCTCTAAGAGGCAATAAATAAATTCGAATTTTTACTATTATTCACAAAACTAAAAAACAAAATGTCTATTACGAAAGTATAAAAATCATTATTAGAATGTAGATACTAAGAAAAAAATAGTTCTAACCTTTTTTTAGATGAGTTCTAAAATTTAGCGCTTAAATTTTTTATTTGTTTCTTGCTTATAAACTGGATAAGATGTCTCAATTTTCACCTTAAACTTTCAATTTCGTCAATTTGAACTTTAAACTTATATAAATGTTAAAAATTTACCATCTATTCAATTTCCGCTAATTCACTCACTCAATTTTACAAAAGAATAATGTAAAAAACTAAAAAAAATTTAGTGAAAATCAAATTTTGCACCCAATTAAGTTTGATTAATGAACAAGTCAACAATTAAATAACTCCATCAAAATTTAAAATTTCAACAAAAATAAAACCCGCTTTAATGTCATGATTGTCTTAATTTATCATCAATTTCATATCAAATATATGTTTTATAATTATTTGACACATATGATGATGTGAATCAAGGGAGCACCATTGTCATGCCTCAAGGACCCATAACGAGATCAAAAACCAAGAAGCTACAACAAGCTTTACTTTCTCATGTTCAATACTTGGTGAGCTCGGCTAGGGATGATCAAAAGAGAGATTGAACTTTTCAAGTGAATATCTTCCAAGTAGAGCTTAAGGGAGGCGTTGCATTAAATGAACTTAGAGTTCATTTAAAGGAGCTGAAGTTGAAGTGGAGTTTAACTCAAGTTGCATTCAATAAAGCCAAGTTCAATTCAAGGAACTCAAGTTGCATTAAATGAACTTAAGTGCATCTCAAGCTTCATTTATTGTAAGTCATTCATCAATTAATGGAACTACACTTCAAACTATTTCAAGTGAAGCTTCATTTATAATTGGGAGGTTATAAAGACTTTGAAGGGTGACCAAGACTTCAATTCTCGGATTTAAACCTCTTTTTATTATATTTTCAGTTTTAAACATTTCATTTATGTGTTTTAAGTTACATTTTAGCTAGTGGATGTTATGGTCATCATGTAATTGGGAGTTACAGCCTTTCAAATGTCTTTAGGTTATTTTAGGGTTGTTTTGGAGGCTATAAATAGCCTAGTTTGTTTCCTTTGAAAGACAGATTTTGATGATTGAATGAAAGTTGCTATTTTGCTTCAAAAAGCCTAGAGCTTGTTTTCCTTTGCATTTCTTATGTTTTAGAATTGCATGTTAGAATCATTCAAGTAGCCTTGATCAAGCGAACTTGTGGAGTGATTCGAATCTTGAGTTTTGAAACAAGTTTTCTCTACTCTTGATCTTGATCATCAAGGTAAATCCGTTCTTAAACTTTTCCTTGGGTTGATTCCATACTTGTTTTCGGGGTTTTTGGGATTGAGTTTTATGGATCTTGTTCGTTAGCAAGGTTTTTAGATCCAACTCTCAAGGGTTTCTTATCATATGAGAGTATATTTTTCAATTCAACATATCTTCAAACATAAACCTATCAAAGGCTATGAACCTATCAAAGGCTAACATCATAAAAATGATAACACTTTTTTAAAATATAAGGAGAAAATTGTGATACTTATCCAAGTTTAAGATGCAAATCGATGAAACTTAGGGTAAAAATTGGTACATCTTACCAACTTTATCATTAACAATGATATTATCCCCTAAATTTTTATATTTGTCCAAATTTCAATTTCTGAGGTTTGAAATGTTCTATTTCTAGTCACTACCCTTCAGATAATTCTTTATTAATAATTTTAACATAAACTTTAGATATGTTTTAAAACTTGAACAGTTTTAAACACTCATCCAAACATACATCTACTCATGAGATAAATGAACAAAAAATCTATGCCTCATTAGGTCTTTTTCCTAAACAATTTATGAAAAATTATTAATAAGAGCTAAAATAGTTTAAATGCCAAAATCATCCCTTTTTTTTCTTTTTCTCTCTTTCTAGTACAATAAGTGTGATAGAGGATTTAAATTCATGACTTCTGGTTAAAGACAGATACCAATTACTATTGAACTAAACTCGTAATGACAAAATTATCTTTAAATTATAAGAATCGTACAAATCACATCTTCAAATTTTCAAATTCAGCAATCACCCCTTGAGTTACAAATGGTAACTACCATTATAATTCATTAGTGATTGAGGTTTAATTGTAACAGTTTCATAAGTTTGAGAGTATAATTTTGCAACAACCATTATAGGAGAAATTTAGGATTTAGATTAGTTTAAGGTACAATTGTGTAAAATTTCTTGGAGTGGTTTTGCAGTTTTTCTCCTTTTTTTAGTTCAACGATACATGGATCTTTTAGTCGATGATAAATGTCTTAACAAATTATTTAGGCTCAGTTAACTTTATAGTGGTAATTTTTCTTGTAATTATAACTTTTAAAATATTAAAATAAACACTACAAATTGCTGAACCTTACCGAGGCGGCTCAGTTTTAACCAAAAACTTTCAATTTCATAAATTGAACTCTAAACTTAGAAAACTTCGTACCATTTTTGCCATTTACCCAATTTTCACTATTTTCACCCTCTAATTTTAACAAATAGCAAAGCAAATATTCTCATCCAACTCACCAATTTCAACAAAATTGAAGTTTTGTCAAAATTAAGTGCAACCCACCATACAAAATTGACCATTTTAATCAATCTCCCATATCACAAATTTTAATGGAAATCTAGCTCAAATCTTGTTTTTCTCTGAAGTCCCATCAATTTTTCTATTATTCATATATTTTAAAGGTCATCGAATGCCTATGGAAATGTTTTCCTTTAATAATTA